TGGCCAACTCCTATGTTTTATGTTAAGCAGATAACTAATAATTACTAATTCGCTAGATATGTACCAAACACTTTCCTTCCCATTTATTCAGCATTCCTTTATTTTACTTTATTTATTTACTTATTTGTTTATTTTTTTTGAGACGGAGTTTCGCCCTGTCACTCAGGCTGGAGTGCAGTAGTGCGATCTCGGCTCACTGGAACCTCCACCTCCTGGGTTCAAGCGATTCTCCTGCCTCAGCCTCCTGAGTAGCTGGGATTACAGGCACACGCCACCATACTCGGCTCACTTTTTGTATTTTTAGTAGAGACGAGATTTCACCATGCTGGCCAGGCTGGTTTCAAACTCCTGACCTCAAGTGATCCACTTGCCTCAGCCTCCCAAAGTGCTGGGATTACAGGTGTGAGCTGGCCTCAGCATTCCTTTGATGCTAGGCACTGTGGTAGGTGCTGGGGATGTAAAATGAGTAAGAAAACATTGTCCCCATTGCATTGTGAAACATTGGGGTATAATTATCCCCACTTCACATCTGAGGAACCTGAAGCTACTTAGGTTTAGCATCTCGGCTAAGATCAGATAATTAGAGCTTGGGGAAAACGGAATTCAAATTCAAGGCTTACTTCAAAGCTCAACCTTTGTGCCGTCCCACAGACTACACTCTATACTATCAACAGCTACTATGAGGCTAGGCAAGGTGGCTCATGCCTGTAATCCCAGCACTTTGGGAGGCCGAGGGAGGCAGGTCACTTGAGCTCAAGAGTTTGAGACCAGCCTAGCCAACACGGCGAAACCCTGTCTCTACACATTTAAAAAATTAGTCGGGTATGGTGGCTTGCGCCTGTAATCCCAGCTACTCGAGAGGCTGAGGTGGGGGGATCGCTTGAGCCCAGGAGGTAGAGGCTGTAGTGAGCTGTGATGGCGCCACTACATTCCAGCCTGGGCAACAGAGCAAGACCCTGTCTCAAAATAAAAGAAGAAAAAAAAAAACAACGTTATTTAAGGGAACCCTTTTTATAAAGTAATAGGCACCTGTAATTTCTGTTTTTTACTTTATATTTCCAAATGTTGGGTTTTCAAAAGAGTGGCACAATGAAGGAAATCAAAAACAAAACAACAAACCTTGTAGAACCTTCTCCATCTAGGAGTTGATAATTGAATTAGAGGCACTTTTTCAAGCAATGTTATCAAAGCATGCAAAGTAACAAAGAATAGTTTAATACAAACAAAAATAGTAAATCCTGGAGTGAGCTTTTAATATCTGCAGCTTACTAAAAAGTTCACATACTTTCCAAAGCTCACTGGCTGCCAAAAGTTAGAATTTTATACCTAAGCAGTTTGTTTCCTAGACAGGAATCTAATTACAAACAGAAGATCCTTCCAGTCCTATATAAAATTATCTGAGAGACAGAAACAATAAGATTTAAGGAGCCAAAGAATCAACAATTGCATTGACTCTCCATTTAAACAGACAAAACAAAACAGAAGGAAAAGAAAGAACAAAACAAAAAATATTCTGGCTGAGGAAACTTTGGAAAAATAATAAAACTTCAAAAATATTTTTTTATCCCATTTCAAACATTATTCTTTCAGTTAAAAAAGTGGTTTTAAAAATAATTTGGTTCTAACATTTAAACTTTTAGCTAATATAATTCTGTATAATTTTTAATCTATGAAAAAATAAATTATACTGTATGAAAGCAAAAAATGCTACAAATAACTATAACAACTTCAACGTACATAATCTTAGAGAAAAGTTTTATGAGCACAATAGCCCCTTCTAATTTAGGTAATTTTTCTTATCAATATTCTCAATACTTCTATCAAAGTTAATTTCTAAATGTTGAAGAAGAGTGGATAGGATGAGTACCCTGAAACTTATTCCCCTTTTAGAACTTTTAAAAATCTCAATATTAAAGATGAACTATTTAAAACATACGTGTATTTCTACAATGAGGTTTTTTGTAGTTGTTTCTTAAAGACATGCTAGTGAATACCATGGCGTTGTGAAACAAAACATTTTGTTGAGCCAGATGGAATAGAAGAATGTACCTTACTGCTAAAGCAGAGGGAAAAAGACCTAAAACGAGTTTTGTGTACTTTCAGGTATAGAATAAGTTTGGGGGAAATAGCTAGGAATGCTTTGGTTAAAACATAAGCTGTCTTCGATTAATTCAAATGTTCTGAATTCAACAAATATTTATTGATTACCTACCATGTTCCAAGCACTCTGCACAACACTCAGTATTAACAGATCAGAAATGGTCCCAGACCTTTTGGAACTTACAGGGTAATGAACACATCCTTCAAAATTATCCTTTCTTTTGTGTGATTCCATGGTCATCAAATACAAATTCACACTACCCAAAGCTTAGTACCCATAAAACAGTATATTACATTACCAAAATCAGCCTGCGGGTCAATGTATATACCCCTATTTAAATTAATAAATCATTCAGGCTTGCACATCAGTCTTTTATGAGTTTAGTTGAGTGAATCCTCAAAACTTAATCAATTCTAATTGGTTAGATGTAATTTCTGAAAATTCAAAATACAGTAGCTGGCAATCAAAATAGTAATGGACTATTTCCATTAAAAGATCACCAAAGTGAGTCTCTACTTAGTTTATCCCCTGACAAAATGCCTTTATTTCATAATACCCTTCAAACTGCAACTAGTTAATCCATAAAACTGTTAACAATAAATGAGATATAGCATATGAGTGCTTCTGGAACTTTTTTTTTTTTTTTTTTTTGAGACGGAGTTTTACTCTGTCGCCAGGCCGGAGTGCAGTGGCGCGATCTTGGCTCACTGCAGCCTCCGCCTCCTCAGTTCAAGCGATTCTCCTGTCTCAGCCTCCCGAGTAGCTGGGACTACAGGGCGTGCCACCACGCCCGGCCTTCTCAAACTTTAATGTACATACAAATCACCCACAGACATGTTAAAATGAAGACTGATTCACTAGGTCGGGGACAGCCAGTGATGTCCAGGCTGCTGTCCACGGACTACAAGGATACACACCTAGCACAGTGGTTGGCACCGAGACTACTCAGCCCAGTTAACTATTCCCTCCCATTTGTATATATCTCATCTCCCTTACTGATCTCACCTTTCTTGGAAGCAAAGACAATGGCTTTTTCATCTTTGTATCTTTCAAAGTTCTAAGTAGAATGAATGCCTTATCTACATAATGGCATTAGATATATGTATTCTGAATGAATGGCATCCACCTTTTAACAGTGATTATTTCTTCTATGAGAATTGTTTCTCTGAATTTATTTTAAATAGAAAAATAGTTCAAAAGCCGAAAAATCAGGAAAACTCTCAATTTTAAAAACCGATAAATACTGTATTTGTACCATACTCCAGTGCGTTTTTTCTCATGCTGACCTAACCTTTTTTAAGAAAATAAATATCCATAATTACCTGCTAGTTTATCTCCTAATGGTTTTCCTTTTTTTTTTTTTCTTTTTTTTTTTTGGTAAATAAAAATAAGCCATCAATTTTTCAGGGAAAGTTTTAAAACTACCCTTTTCTTTGTATGCAAGGGCACCTTTGTAAAGTAATACCTATAAAATAATCCTGGCTTCTCGGATTAATATTATATAAAAATCACAGTATCCTTGTTATCAATAGGTAGACCGTTGGCACAGTTTCATGTGTGTCTTCGCCGATTTTCTGTGATCACCGGAACAAGTGACTAAATATCTCAGGATTCGTTTCTTCCCTTGTAAATATTAGCTGTTAACCTGACCACACTTGGTTCTGTGCAGAGAAAAATGGTTTGAGGGGGTGTTTTGAGCACTCCAGAAAGAAAACAAAGGAGGAATATTTTCACTTCCTACTTGTTTACCTTTACTGTTTTATGGCTTTTTGGATATTTTTGGGTGACTCTGCCACCTACCAAACACAATTATTTTTGAGTACCTAAGGGCATGGTAACCAAGGATCGGGTTTTAATCCTACCATTAATCACACCATGATTTGAAAACAACATGAAAGGTCTTGCAAATAAACGTAATCACTTTTTGGCGTCTCCGCACAGGCAACACACCGATGCCTCTGATCTGGCGACCTTAAGCCTCGAAGCGCAGTCCCGCCTCTGCAGGCGGCCACCGCGCAGGGCTGGGTGGTCCCCCGGGGACCGCGAGCGGTTCCAAGGTCTCCGCCAGATTTTGGTTTTCATCTTTATTAAAACTGCTGTTTAGGTGTGTGTCTTTTTTTTCTTTTTTTTTTTTTAAGACAAGACAACAGGCCAGTTGCGCGACGCAAGCCGGCCGCGGGGCAGGCATTTCGGAGCACCGGGAAGCTCGGAGGCAGCGGCGGTGACCTCCAGACCGTCCTCCTGCGTCCTCATTAAGGAGGCAAAATGGTGGCCGCGAACGCCATCAGGCTGCGCCAGGGCGGGGTTTCGGCGCCAACACAGAGGATCCCGCCAGATTCTGGCGGCCAGAACTCCTCCTCACCCAGGCCACCCCCCGGGGCCCACAGCCTGGACCGCTACGGGCGTGGCACCTGCGGCACCGAGACCCCCGGCGAGGGTGTGGAGGCGGCGACGACTTCCCCGCGACAGTGAACAACGACGCCATTATCAGCACCCCCTGCCGGCGCCTCCGGCGCAGCCCGCGCAGGAGCCGAGGCCCGGCCTCCGAGGGAGGGGGAAGGAGGACGCGGCGGGAGGAGAGGAAGAGGGGGAGGAGGGCGAGAGGAGGGGAGAGAGAACAGGGCGGGAGGAGGGAGGAGACGGCGGGAGGAGGGAGAAGAAGGCGGGAGGAGGGGAGACAGGCGGGGCGGGGCGGAGCGGCAGGCCGGGCTGGCTGCGGGGACGGGGGCAGGGCGGCGGCGGCTGCTGCTGCTGCGGGGTGGCCCCCTCCTCGGGCCACCCTCTCCCTGCGGCTGGGGACTCCAGATGGACGAGGGCCCACCCCACCCGGCGCTTCCCCGTGCGACCCGGTGTCGCGGCGGGCGGCGAGGCCAGCGGCTCCCCGTCGCCCCTACCTTACCTTCCCTGTCTTTCTCGTCCGCCATCTTGCTGCGGAGCCGGTCGCCTGGGAGATGCCTAACGATAACCTCGGCCGCGGTGTCCCGGCCTGCTCAGCGCCCCGCGGCGAGCCTGGCTTGGAGGAGGGGCCGCTCCGAATTCTGGGGGAGGAAGACCCTTGGGCGGGGCGGGGCGGGGAGAAGGCTCCGAGCGCGCGCCGCGTCCCCGCTTCCCGCCACGACCCTCGCGCTGGGGGAAGACCAGAAGCCGCGTCTGCCACCCGGCCCCCAACCTTGTCCCTGCAGACCCGAGGCCGGGGCCCGACTAGTCGCGGGCCTAGCAGTGTTACTTCATCACACGCTCCCCAGCCCCCCTTCCCTTATTTCTCATCCATTTGGGGACAGCACGCGCGCGCACACACCCTCGCCCCTCCTGTCCTGTTTGTGCGACGTGGCGTTGCTCGATTTTTGTTGTGAACTGCAGATTTTGAAAAGCGCCGGAGAGCTAGGTGAAGAGCTGGGCTCCCGAGGGGGTGACAGAACCAGCCCGCGGCCCGACCTCCTCCTCCCGCTTCCCATCGGCCCGGCTGCTGCAGAACGGCCGCGCCTGCCCTCCCGGTTTCTCCCGTCCAGTCCTCACCGTCCTTTCCCAGAGAAAGCGGCAGCACAGCCTATGACAACTAAGCTGAAACGGAAAAACTGGGCCGGGCGCAAGAGGAAACCAGAGCCATTCGACTATTATTACTAGAGGAGAGGAATAGCTGTAGAAAAACATGCGCAAAATAGGCACAAACATTGCGTTGTCAAGGCTGCAATGTCTCATACAAAATAGAAGGTTCTCATAGCAACAAAAACGTGCCCATGTTGTGCTCAGTGTTAACATGCGTTAAAATGTTCTTAGTTGTGAAATTTGACATGACCGCTGGTTAAAGTTACAATGGAAGTTTTAAATCCTGCTTTCCGGAAACTTTGCAGCCATAGCATGAGGTTAAATTTTTCTTATTTTCAGGACAAGTTTACTTATACTGGAATATAGTAAAGCTCTTTTTACAAAGAGCTTTGAATAAAATACCTAACGATGTGGTTCAAACGAACACATTTTCAAAACTAATCTTAAATGGTATTTCAGTGCATATGTTATGTAAAAGCAATTTATAAACTAAACTAAATTTTAAGAGCCTTCAAAATACAAAGTACTCGTATTTAATGACTTAACAGTTTTAATGCTTTTATTCTGTTTCTATAATCTCTCAGGAAATCCTGACTATATTTTTATTAAAATAACTTTTTCTGTAGAAGATACCCATTTGGTGCTGTGATCAGCATTCTGCCTGAAATTGAATATAAACAACTGAATCATTACAAAATGGCTCATGTTAGAAGATACTTAAAACGAATACAATCTTGTAAATTTTTAACACCCCAAAATAACGAAAAGTAATTATTAGCATTCATTTATATCTACATCTCAGTCAATATGATCTAAATATTTGTGTTTAAAGCCTCCCCCTCTCCATATAGATAATGAAGGGCTTTGAAATAAGTGTAGGAAACCCTAAGTTTGGTCTCAGGCTTGCTATTCATTCACTATGCTTTTTCGTCTGCTGTTTACAGTTTCCTTTTTCTGGAGCGTCTTTCTCTGCTCTCTCCCCCGCCATCATTTCAGCTTCCCACAAACACACATTTGTCCCCTCCTGGTTGTCATGCAGGATGACTGTCTTTGTTTTTGTTTTTGTCTTTTGTTTTTCGAGACAGGGTCTCGCTCTGTCCTCCGGGATGGAGTGCAGTGGTGCGATCTCTGCTCACAGCAGCTTCCGCCTCCCGGTCTCAAGTGACCCTCCCACCTCAACCTCCCAAGTAGCTGGGAGGAGAGGCTCGCGCCACCATGTCTGCTAGTTTTTGTATTTTTTGTAGAGACAGGGTTTCTCCCTGTTGCCCAGGCTGCTCTCAAACTCCTGAGCTCAAGCGATCTGCCGCCTGCCTGGGCCTCCCAAAGTTCTGGGATTGCAGGTGTGAGCCACCGTGCCTGGCCAGGATGACCTTCTCGAAGTCACCTACTAATTGAAGCTCTCCCTCTCAGCCTTTTCCTCTATGGCGCCATACTCATAGAGCCTCCCACATTGATTTGCAATGCTTTCGTTCGTTCACTTGTTTCCACCTGCCAAACAGTAAGGTCTTGAAGACAGAAACAGCATTATTCATTCATATATCCCCAGTATCTAGTACAGTTTTTCTGTTTGGCAATATATGTCTTAAAAATTAAGATAGGAATAAGTCTTCTCAATGACTTTTTTTCAAAAAAGACCCAGATTCAGCACGTACTGTGTGTAAGACAGACCTTCCTTTTACATTACGTTTTCTCATCAGTAAAAGTACTGGGCCAGGTGCGGTGGCTCACGCATAATCTCAGCACTTGGGGAGGCCCAAGCGGGTGGATCACTTCAGGTCATGAGTTCAAGACCAGCCTGGCCCACATGGTAAGACCCCACCTCTATTAAAAATAGAAAAATTAGCCAGGTGTGGTGGCTCACACCTGTAATCCCAGCTACTGGGGAGGCTGAGGCAGAAGAATCGCTTGAACCCGGGAGGCAGAGGTTGCAGTGAGCCGAGATTCACCGCTGCACTCCAGCCCACATGACAGAGCAAGACTCCATCTCAAAAAAAAAAGTACCAGTATTTCATGTCAATAAAATAGAATTCTTATATAAACATATATAAATTAAAAATTATTATTTTAAGAGTTGAACAGAGTTCTCTGTAAACTCCCCTGTATTTTTATATTTTTAAAACTAACTGTATTCAGCAAAGCTTTTTATTATGTAATTATTCCAAAACACATTAATCATTATTTCTCTGAACTCCTACAGCACATTTAAAACAGTACTGTTTCTCTAGGTGTGGGTGAGTAAAAAAATATTTAATATATGTTAATTAACTCCCCCATCCCCTGACCCTGCCAAGGTTTTTGTTTGTTTGTTTTGTTTTTTTTTTGTTTTTGTTTTTGTTTTGAGACGGAGTCTCGCTCTGTCACCCAGGCTGGAGTACAGTGGCCGGATCTCAGCTCACTGCAAGCTCCGCCTCCCGGGTTTACGCCATTCTCCTGCCTCAGCCTCCCGAGTAGCTGGGAGTACAGGCGCCCGCCACCACGCCCGGCTAATTTTTTGTATTTTTTTTTTTTTTTTTTTAGTAGAGACGGGGTTTCACCGTGTTAGCCCGGATGGTCTTGATCTCCTGACCTCGTGATCCGCCCGTCTCGGCCTCCCAAAGTGCTGGGATTACAGGCTTGAGCCACCGCGCCCGGCCCCCTGCCAAGGTTTGAATAGGAGCCTACACCTTTATAAACTCTTTTTATATACCCACACTACCTAGCCTAATCAGGACACATATTAGTTGCTTCATACATACTTTTCAACTGCCTAATTTGCTGATTAGACATAAAAGTATATAATTCTAGAAAAGTTTCCACAAGGTGAAAATGATTATCCAAATAAAAAAGGCCCACAATGCCAGTGAGTACATTATCTGCATTATGCTAATATTTGCCTCCTTTCAACTCTGTTTGATTGTAGAAACCTGACAGATGATTATATTACACTTTTAACTCTTTAAATATTACTAGCTTGCTTTGGACTGTGGAAAACTAACTACAATCATTTTTATTCCTTAGAATATATTTTGCGGATGGGCACTGTGACTCACGCCTGTATACCTAGCACTTTGGGAGGCCGAGGTGGGCGGATCACGAGGTCAGGAGATCGAGACCATCCTGGCCAATATGGTGAAACCCCGTCTCTACTAAAATACAAAAAAAATTAGCCGGGCGCGGTGGCGGGCGCCTGTAGTCCCAGCTACTTGGGAGGCTGAGGCAGGAGAATGGCGGGAACCCGGGAGGCGGAGCTTGCAGTGAGCCGAGATCGCGGCATTGCACTCCAGCCTGGGCGACAGAACAGGGACTTAAAAAAATAAATAAATAAAAAATAAATAAAATATATATATATATGTATGTATATATATATGTGTGTGTGTATATAGCTTCTGAGCTGTAGCTTGAGTAACTTTTAATATTGTATGCCGCCAAAGCATTTTTTCAGTTAAACATCTCATAATGATTTTCAGAAATTTAGAATCAGAAAATCATTTTTGATCCCACTCATGGATATATAAACTTAGGGCTAAATCAGAAAAGCAAGCACATAGTTTTAGACAATCACACTTATTTGATGCATTACTCCATGGAGCCAGATGGATACGTACAGGTTATGTCCTTTTGCATGCTTAAATTGATAGTGAGTTAAATCTGTTCGGACAGCCATCAGTGATGTGCCCATGAGGAACACAGAAAATGTTTCTTTTGAATGCAGTTGACTCAGTTACCTAAGATGTGAGTGAAGTGGGAAGGGTAAGTGGTGTGAATAATGCAAAATGATAGTTTAAAAATCCTTCATGCCATGCTTACTTTCCTAATACGGAGATCATTGAAATCTTGGATTGCGAATAATTTTTTTTTTAATGGATTTTCCTTGGGCATTGCCATTTACTAATCTCATGATCCTGGGCAAGCCATGTAATCTCTTTAAAACTTAGTTAACTCATAAAAATAGAAATAACAATGTCCAAACTTCCTATTTTAGAGTTTTCACGAGATGCAATAGATGTAACCGAAAGCTTTGAAAAGTTTAAAGGACTTGCAAGGAAATCTACTGAAATAAGCCCCCATTCCACCTGGGACGAAGCACTGAGACGCCAGACCCCACCTTCTGTCCTGAAATTCACCTTCCACTAGGACAGTTTGCTTTTCTAATGCTTCAGATGCACAACGGGAGATGTTCTGACTTCGGGGTTTCTACTCCTCACTGCTGTCATCTGCTGCCTGTAGGACATGCAGTCTGGCCTACACCATACAGCTTCTCATCTTCAGCTTGTGGCCCTTCCTCGTTTCCACCTTGCTATTCAGGAGGGCCCCGAAGCGTGTCTAGATTCCTTGAGCTGTAGATGCAGGACAATGAGAAGGAGGTAGTTACTTCTCTGGTCTAATTTCAGTTTCCTGACTGAGGGTACATGCCTTCCCTGAATGATCAACATCAAAAATATCCAGCCCTTCATGGAAGACACCAGCCCTCCTCATAGATGGATCCCTGAGCTTATGATCTCAAAAGGAAATCCTTATCAGAATACAACAGAACAAGGACATAGTTTCATCACAGAGTTATAATAATAAAAATAGTTCTTCTTTATTAAGCTGCATGAGGTACTTTGTATTGTATTAGTATTCCCGTTTCACAGATAAAAATACTACATCTTCACATAAATGGCTTGGTTAAAGCTCACAGCCAGTAATTAAGAGAGCTGGTTAGGAATCTAGTTCTGATTTCAGAGTCACTGTTTTGTTTGTCTGTTTGTTTGTTTGTTGTTTAAGACAAAGTCTCGCTCTGTTGCCCAAGCTGGAGTGCAGTGGTGGGCTCAATGCAGCCTCGACCTCCCA